ATTAGAAATCCTTCATCGAGCACCCTTGGAAATTAAATCTCTAGCACTAAGGATACTCTTCCACGCGTAGCTCGGGACAAAACCAGAAGAACTATCTGCAATATAACTCCTAGGATAATATCAGCCTTTGAAAACTTTTCCCAACAGTGAGTGTGTGATCACCTGATAAGAGACATCAGTAGTGCTTTCCCAGAAGACTAGTGTTAAAGGTTATTGATTCCACAAAAACACATACCTCTTGCTCCTTTTGCTCGAGCCATCTTCTCCCAGCTCAACCAATGGCCTTTCTATCTCCGTTCTTTGAGCCCCACTAGAAATTTGTCAAAATTGCTTCTATGTCTTGGAAGATTGTCTCAGGCAACTTATAGCAACTTATGATATAACTCAGAATATCGAATCTACTCAGCTATGATGAGCTGTGAACTGAAAACAGAGAAGAATAAATGCAGAGAAAACGAAAGAGATGAAGATTGCATTTTTCACTCTATAATTTGGTTACCATTTTGTTATCAATTAGTTACAAAATAAACTCTCTCAATCTTTTAAATAGACTATAGAAATACATAAAGACTTTTTATCACCTAAGTCTCTAAGAGTGCCCTTAAGGTATTGAAAGACTTGGTGAACTATTGTTAAATGAGTGGTTTGAGGGTGTTGCATGAACTGGCTTAACTTTTTGACTGCATATATAATGTCAGGCCTGAGATTATTAAATACATGAGTTTGCCAATCAATTTTTGATAACCAAAAATGTCTTCTAAAGGGTCACCATCAGTATTATTGAATGGTACTGCAGAGTCCAATGGACACTAGTAGGCTTGGAAACAATGTAACCTGTGTCTTGGAGGAGTTTTAGGGTATATTTTCTTTGACATAGGTGGATACATTTCCTTGATTTAGAAATTTCTAAACCCATGAAATAATGCAAATCTCCAAGCACTTTTAACTTTAAATGTTGTTGAAGGAGTGGTTTAACTTGTTCAATCTTTGTGGATTAGGACCTGCAAGAATAATTTCATCTACATATACCAATAAGATGACCAAAGATGAGCCATTGCCACAGAAAAACAAAAAATGATCTGCTGGAGATTGTTCAAAGCATACTAAAGTGAGTGTGGAGTTGAACTTTTGATACCACTGTCTGGATGCTTGCCTCAATCCATATGGTGACTTGTTAAGTTTACAAACCAAGTTCTCCCCCTTGATTGGATAACCCTTAGGAATCAGTATATATACTTCTTTAGATGGATCTCCATTGAGGAAGGGATTGTTGATGTCGAGCTGAATAAAATGCCAATGTTTCTGTGCAGCAGTTGAAAGAAAAATTCTCACAGTGGTGAGTTTTGCTACAGGAGAAAAAGTGTCTAAGAAATCCACTCCAGCCTATTGTGTGAACCCTTGGGATACTAGGAATTCCTTGTACCTATCCAGAGACCCATCATATCTATATTTCACCTTATAAATCCATCTACACCCAACAACTTTCTTATCTTTTGGGAGGGATTGAACATACCATGTATTGTTAGCTTCTAAAGCAGATATTTCTTCTGCCATGACTTGTCTCCATTTAGGGCTAGACACTTCTTGGTGATAAAAGGAAGGCTCATAGATGGTCGATACTTGGCCTATGACATGTTTATAGAAGGGCTGTAATTTGTCACAAGACAGGTGGTTCTGAATTAGATATTGTACATTACACTGATAGTCTTGTAAGTAAGAGGGAGGTATGTGTATTCTAGAGGGTCTTTAAGATTATGCATTTTGTCCAATAGGTAATTGTAGGATGTCAACATGAGGTGTAATAGGCGAATTATGGACAGGTGTAGGTATGCCGGGTTGTGGTTCATAAGCTTCATTATTAATCAGAGGGTCTTGTTCAGGATAAAGGGAATCTACTATAGCCTTAGGCAGTAATGTGTTAGGAAAAAGGTCGGAAAATACATTGTTATCTGTGTTTGAGTGGAAAGGAAAAAGTGATTCTTAAAATGTGACATCTCTGGTAATTAAGATTTTTTGAGTATCTAAGTTCAGAAGTTTATAGCCCTTCACACCTTGTGGATAACCAAGTAGAACACAAGGTGAAGCTCAGGTGTAAACTTAGATCTATAGGCAGGAATTGTGGAAGCAAAACACAAACAACCAAAGATTCTTAGTGAAGCATAGTCGGGTATTTTACCTTGCAACAGTTCATAGGGAGATTTGTTGTCTAATCATGGAGAAGGTGTTCTATTGATCAAGTAGGAACATGTGTTGACACAGTCACCCAAAAAATCTTATTGGCACTTTGGAGTGGAACAATAAGGCTCTTGCCACATTTAAGAGATGTTGGTGCTTCCTTTCTACTACTGAATTTTGTTAAGGCCTGTGAGGATATGAGAACTGATGTACTGCCTCTTCGTCTTGCAAAAATTCAATCAATTGTAGTTCTTTTGCATTATCACTGCAGAGTCCCTTAATGGAAGTGTTAAAATGAGTTTTTATAAACTTAAAAAACAGTTTAATTAAAATAGTTGCTTTAGACTTATGTTTCGTTAAATGAATCCAAGTATATTTTGTGTTGTCATCAACAATAGTAAAAAAATAATGATAACCATCGTAAGTAGATTTTGAAAAAGGACCCCACACATCACAATGAATCAAGTTAATGTTAGAAATTTAGGGTGTGATAATCCTGAATAACTTCGATGAATCGTGTTCGTACACTTTCTGAACAAAGTATTTCGACCCTATTTTTGTCTGGGTTCACGAAATCTTTGTGGGGATAATTCTCGAAGAAATTCTGTTTCCGACAAAAGAAACGAATTGTAATTATAGAGAGAAGGATGCGTTTTTCTGTATGCGAGACCGAGGCCGAACGACTCCTTATATAGGAGAACAGTAATTGAAACGAAGAGACACATTTGTTCGAAACGAATATGTCCGTTGGGAAACAGTTATGTCCGTTGGGAAACAGTTATGTCCGTTGGGGAACAGCGGGACCCCAACCAGGGGCTTCCGTCCCTTGGACCCCGCGGGGCGCTGCCCCGCACCCCGCCAGGGGCTTCGCCCCTTGGAACCCCAACGGGGCGCTGCCCCGCACCCCGCCAGGGGCTTCGTCCCTTGGAACCCCGTTTCAATTATTCGTATTCAATTATGTATTGACTCGACGAGCGTGCACTCCGCACTTCCCTAACTCGTCTCCGAACTTAACGCATAATTGCATCGGCCTTTAGAAATCACATTACTACTAAAATACATTGGTGATACAAAATCGCCAACAGTTAAAAGGTAAATCACTATGATTATTATTTGAAATAAAGGGTAAACGATGAAATTTAGCAAAAGAACAAACTTTGCAAGATTCATTGTATGAGACATTTAAAGGAAACAAATCAGGAACTTAATAATGAATTGTTTTCAATACTTGGTCAGATACATGACCTAATCTAGCATGTCAAGTGTAATACGGTGGGAGAACTGACTTGGTATTTTGCGTTTTATCGCAAATGTTGCAGATAGCAAGAGTCACCACCGATTTTTCTTTTATCCAATAAAGGAAAGGGTGAAAAGAACAAGAAAGACCTTTTGAGAATTTTCTTGAGTTCGGGGGGTAGGTTATGAAAAGGGAAGGTGTTAACACCCTTTTCATCCGTAGTTATCTACTGGCTCTTAATTGCTAACTCACTTTGAAAATGCTTTGTGTTTGTGTATGTTTGTAAATATTTTTAAAATGCCTAAGTGCGGAAATTTTGTAATGATTCCCGTATCGTTGAGAATGTATACAAAATATTTATTTGAAAATATTTTTTAAAAGGGAGTGTTTGGAAAGATGTTTTGAAAATGTCAGTGTAAGGAAATTTTGTAATGATTCTCGTATCGTTAAGAATGTATACAAAATGTTTGTTTGGAAAATTGTTTTGAAAATGGTTGTTTTGAAAGTGTGAAGTGTGAAAATTGTTTTAGTTTGTGAGCAAGCGATTACGTTCGATCTACCTACTCAAAAAGTCTTTGTTCTTTTCCTCCTCCCTTAGATAATGATTGTCTATCATTAGTTAGTAGAAAGACATATCATTAGATGTGAGGGGCAGACGTGGGTCATCGTACAGTCATAGAAGGCAACTTATGAGACGCTTTAGCAATTATCGTAAGGGACTAAGATCGTTTATTGAAGGCAACATCGAAGGGTCATCGAGGGACTACGATCTTTTAATCGAGGGTCTTTGCTAAAGCATCTCATGTTCGAGGGATATGATTGTTTTTATCCGAAGGCAACAAGTGAGGTTACCCAAGATGTGCATGTGTACAAAGTGTGTTTGATTCAAGTATTTTATCTTGAATTAGGGTTTTGCTATGTTTGCTTTTAGTCTTGTCATACAAACCCTAATTACTAATCAATATGGAAAGCGATAAATTGCGGAATTTAAATGTCCTACGCTATTACAACACTTTGGGAATGGGGATACAATTTTGTGAATAGGGGAGGAAAGCAATAAAACTCTAATTATCTATTACAAACCATTTACATAGATAATAATGCAAAATAATAAAATGCGCAAAAATATAAAGTAGAGGAAAGAAAGAGGAAGTGTTTTTGATAGAGAAAAATATTTAATGTTTTAACCTAATTGATTGACTTTGTATTTAAAAGAAATTAGTAAACTTAATTAAGATAAAAATTAATTTCATTAATCAAAAGGAAAAATAATTTAAATATAGAAAAACCTAAATCTAAATTAATTTAAAAGAGAAATTAATTGTTAGAAAATATTTTTGAGGTTTTATTTAGAAAAGCATTTGAAGTATAAAACTTAATTCTAATTAATTAAATCAAGGTGATTAAATTAAAACAATTTTAATTATCAAAAATTAAACTAATTAATTAGAAAAACTAAATAAATTTTTTTATGATTTTTGTTGTTTTTTTATTTAAAAAAAATAAAATGATTAAAATAAAATAATTAAAATAAAATAATTAAAATAAAAATAGAAAAGAAAATTAATTTGGCCAGTGTTGTAAAAGAAATCAGGCGGGTGTTAATAAATGTCCAGGCCCAAGAAGATCTTTTTTGTTTCAAACAGAAAATAAAAACAAAACAAGAGTAATGGGCCTGAGTATAACAAGTAAAACGGGGGACGGGGGGGGGGGGGGAGAGCCCAACGCCTATTTGTTATCCAGTATGGCCAGTATTTGATGGTTCGTGGTGGATGCTTGCATCTGGAACGTCCATCTTGGACATAGAGAGATCAGAGGGTGATGGTGAGGGGTGCAGCGTGCGCGCCTTAGGCATGCTTGCATTGAATCTGAAACAAATAAATGTGAAACAAATAAAAGGGTATAACTAGGGCTCGAGCCCGGGTCTCTATAGTCACAGGCGCACACTTTAACCATTGGGATGGTGATACATCCGGTAGTTAAAGCACAAACCAAAAAATATATTACAAACTCCTTCCTAAATGTAACTTCGTCTCCTACCTCGCGCTAGTAACAACAACAAGAATTTTGAAAATGCTAACTCCTTCATTTCTCAATCATTTCAAAAACTGTAAACACCAAACTTGTTCTAAATCTTAACACGAATTCAACCATGTAAATAACTTAAGTTAACACTCAAAGATGAACATGAATTTATGTTGGTACCAAACTGAACCCTAATTTTTCATAAACTTCAATTTTAAAATCCTCATCACTCAGGCAAGATAAATAAAATGTAAGCACATGGTTAGCTTCAGGGCAATGATGTCTACATTTTTTATTCAGAAAGTAAACATCAATGATGCTTGTATAGAAAGTTCAAAGTTTAGAAACTTACCTCAAAAGTAAGAATTGTGTTTGAAGTTGGAGCACTCCTGGAGATGTTGCGATGATCTGGATAGCTTCACTGAACTCCCAGAAAGCTATTGTAATGCTTACTTTGGATTGAGAGTGTATGGATTCTTATGGAGAAGTCAAGTTGCAGAGTTGAGTTTTGAAAATGATGGATGGTGATGGAGGGATAACATAAGTGGTTCAAGTGTTTGGATCACTTTTATATGGTGTATAGATGATGTTTGAATGATTGAAATGGAAAACACACGAGTAGATTATGAGTTTGGTGTTCAAGGTCAGAAGTTGCCACAAAATGGAGTTTTGATGCAAATTCTGGTTTGAGGGAGTATGAGGGTGTTTTGAGGGCTATGAATTTTTGTTTTGGCTTGCAAAATGACCTCTTTATTATAGGCAAGAGGTTTGACATCTTGAAGTAACCAGAATCTTGAGATAACATGTTATGGTTTGGTTGAAAGTGAGAAATCAAGTTGGATAGATTTTTATGGTACCAAGGTTCAAGTACAAGCATGGCTTGAGTTTATTGAGTGAAGGGAGGTTGCTTATTCACTTTATAATGGAGTGTGATCAGAAGGAACAAGTGAGGAGCTCAAGAAGTTTATATTATGTATAAAGCCTGCTTTATGTGAATGACAATGGTGTCTTTCTTCCAAAAATGGCAAAATGGATTGGATAATGCCTTAACCACTTGGATCATAGCTCAAAAGTTTATGTAAACATTTAATTATATTGAGATTTGCAAGTTAGAAGGCCTGCAAAGCAAGATTATGCAGCATAGCATAAAGATTGGATTACGTGTTCATCATCAAAATGGCCTATAATTCAAGTTTATCATGCCAACTTCAAGTCTTCGAATCTCCTAGCTAAAAAATGATCTATCCAAGTTCTTGGACATTTTGGAAAACTTGAAACATTGTATACAACCTTCATGTTGACCACTTTGTCTAAATCAACTTGGAACTTGGTGAAAATTTTCCAAGAAGTTGGGACAAATATCTGACCAAACCTGTTGAAAATTTTACTAAGAGTTTAGATAAAAATGTCATGACTTCATGGTCCTATATCTCCTAATCCAAGTATTTTTTGGACATCAACTCTCAAGGAAAAAGTTGTAGAACTCATCATGCTCTACAACTTTCATGTTAAAATTTTTCCTTGAATCATCTTGTATCTTTGTGAAAAATGGTCATGAAGTAGTGAATTTATCAAGGTCAAAACACTTAGAATTTTTTCTAAGTATTGGAAATCTTGACTTTTTGTTGAATTTTCTTGACTTTGTTGATTCTTGTTGATCAAGCTTGATAATTTGAATGTTTTGATGACTCTTGATCTTTGAAGTTCAATTTGACCAAAAAGTCAAAGTTTGACTTTTGTGTGACTGTTGACTT